TCTGTTTGAGTACAAGGCTGCCATACCAGTTAATTTTTGAACAAGAACCGAGCATCGTTTTATTTTCACTCACAGTCATCAGAACAAATAAATCCAATCCCAAACTAGAACACGTACAAATTTCTTAAACGTTACCAAACCTACAAATTCTAATCGAAAACTAATAAAATAATTTACTTCCACTTATCGATTTCGATAAATCAGCGCGGTCGCTTTAATAATGTGAACGCGAGTAGATGCATCGATAGAGCAGTGAAATACTCCCCGATTTTCCCATTCGAAAATCGATTCTTTTACCGATTAAAATATTTGGGTGGCCAATGACGGTGGTATACAAAATGTTAGACACTTTAGAGTTAGAAAGTAAAAATACCGATTGAATTCTCGAGTGATTTAGATTGAATATCGGTTATTTTATTGCATTATTACGGAGATACGATGGAGTAACGAAATGTTTTGATTCGATATACTGTTAGGTATTTATCGAAAATAGACACTGGTCGATATCGGATACTTTTATTCGAATTCTTGATGAAAAACGCAATAGCGGCGCGTATTGAAATTTGGAAATTAGATAACATTCTTAATTTGTAAATATCTAAAGCAAGGCAAAGTATCTAACAAAACGCTTTGATAAATTACTTTACTGTCTAGTACTGGGACTTTCATAAATGATTTCACGTTGCCTGATATGGAGTTTGATATGTCTACAAACTTTGATGATTTAAACTTTTTACTTACTCACCTTATTATGTACTTGATAGTTGTTTATATTTAGTCTGAGAAAAACGTGTATTCACGCTAGTGATAACATGTGTGTAGTCTATGAAATAGTGTAATATATTGTGTTTTGTTTACTTACATATGAAATACCTTTAGGTATTTTTTTAATTTAAAATAACGTTATTTTTAATATAACGTTAAAGCGTAAACAAGCCACACAGACTGCCATCGGTGTGTAATTTATGCAGTTTTATCCGTAAATTTATCCCCCATAGATGTAATCGAACACCCGATAGGTTTTACTATCGTCTCCGATCGTATCGCGATACGGAGGTGTCGAGTGAGCGCCGTCCAACTCGATATTACGGTTTTTAAAACTTTTTAATCTGTTATTGACGGTTTTTATGCCCAATTTAGGATTTTATTCCGTCATTTTGGAGGCGGGCCGGAAAATTTGACACCTGTTTGGAATTTTTCGAGTTGATTTTACATTTGTATACCTACTTATCCTACATGTTATTAACTTGTAATTTTAACCTGTAAGTACAAGTGTAATTCTAACCTTCGTATGCTAACGTCAAATTATGGAGAATCATCACACACTCACGTACGAGGTACCACCGAAAGTAGAGGCCCTACTCTTTTTATAAAAAGACAGTTTGTTTTTATTTATCAATGCAGTTATTAAAATGGGTAAAAACATAGAATTCAAGAGTTGTTCTAAAAAATATCTATGTATAATAGATAAATATGTAGAGATTATACTATACTCAATATGTAACTAGTATGTAAAGATAACAATATACACAAAAGTATATAATCGAATCGGAGACTTATTTTTTGGTAACTTCAAAATAAATAAAATTTTCCTGCTTTAAGTGATTATGAAGTGATAAGATTTTAAATTGATAAATAAATCGATTTGTCTTGATAAAGAGTTTTCCGTGGACGGCTAGGAATTAATTAGATTAGAAACATGTTAATATCGTTGTATTTAATCATTAACACTACTGTATTTTTAATAAATTGTGTAAAGTAAGTAGGCTCACGCCCGTATTCACAAACGATGCATGCTTAAGTGAAGCAGCAAATCGAACGCACAGAGTTAATTGAATAGAGCTCTGTGATTGATTCGTATGTCACTCTGTGCGTCCTGTGAGACCTCATAGTAATATTTGTGAATACGGGCGTCAGTTGCTGGCACCATGATTATGATAATGCGTTAGTTTAGCAAAACTAATAGAACGGTACATTTCAATACATACTTGTATTATGTATTGTAAATTCGATTGTTGAATTCTTCTTCTTGTCGTGTCGACAACAAACCTACACAGCGTCAGCCCATAACTCCGCCACAAGAGTGGCGTTGTCAGTAGTAGCCTTCATTAAATCTTCCTGCGTGCAGTTATTTGAGCACGCAGGGCACGTCATCATGATTGTTGAATTGAGAAAGGATTTAAGCTTGGTCCTAATATTGAAACTCGATTACTCAATCTATACTCAGTTTTCGTCTTTGAGCTTCTTTTTAGGGTTCCGGAGTCCTGACAAGGAACCTTTATATTTGTTTCGTGGGACGTCCACCCACTAGGTGGACTGACCACCTCTTAAAGGTAGCACGAAGGCGCTGGAAGCAGGCCGCTACCAACCGGGCGATGTGGAAATCATTGGGGGAGGCCTATGTTCAGCAGTGGACGTCCTGAGTTTGTTCCGGCGTTTCTTTTCAGCACTTGCCATATGTTTGTCTCGAAGCGCTGGTAGGGCCCAAAAGATAAGGAGACATGTAAAGTGCCCCATAAGGGCTACCTTTTCTTTTTTTATAATTTTCTATAATAATATTTTGACGTTCATCAGTGCCACTTGTGGTCTAAACTGAATAAATATTTTTGATTTTGATTTTGATTTTGTGGCTGAAATGATGATGATGATCTTCGTTTTTACAATAGCCACATACTTTAATGCGTTCTGAAACAGTGCTGAAGACTGATGATGGAATTACTGTATTAACATTCTATTGTGTTTCATAGCCCGATAATTGGCTAACTCCGATCTAGTAGATATCCCCCGTTATCTGATTACAAGATGTTATTGCAATTAATAACGATAACGTTATCGTTTTTTGAATCGGTATCGAGTAATTACGTCAATGAATTATCCGAGTTTATTTCTAATTGCCGTGTCAATATCCCATTGCAAGCCGTCCTGGCTACAGACAAACAATATGATTTTTATCTAGTTTTTTAAGATAAGAGAAGTTAATTTTTCTAAACGTTTTTATTTATTTTTATATTATTCTCCTATTCGCTATTCTCCTGAAATAGGTACCTACTTATGTGATTAAAATGAAACTTTTCTATTTACTTATTTAAGGTAGGCAAGAAAGGTATACAGCAACTTAATACAGTTTCACAATAGTTTCGCACGATTTTCCTTCGCACGAATGTGCGAAACGTATCCTTTCAATAATAGGTAATTTTTTTTAATAGGTGTTTCGCCCGGATGTATTAAAAGTATTAAAATCGCGTGCGAATCGACTCTTTTTTGAACTAGTAGTATGTGATTACTAGTTCTCAAAGGGGTCGATTCGCACCCGTTTTTAATACTTTTGATACATCCGGGCGAAACTCCTACTAAAAAAAATATTATTGAAAGGATACGTTTCTCACATTCGTGCGAAGGAAAATCGTGCGAAATTACTAATAACCCAAAATAAATATTCATAAATAAAATACCTACATAAGATAATAAGTACGACTTTGTTCAAATTATAATCCGACTCAGAAGTGCAAATTACCGAAAAATTAAACGAAAATATTGCTTGTTTCATGAATGTAGAGACCCTATAAAGATTTTCTCGCTGTAAAAACGCATTAAATTTTGCTTTAAGTCTCATAAAAAAGACACGGCACTAAAAACCCATGGTTTCATGCAAGTAACTATTGATTGAAAGTGAACTAACCGTGGCGTTGATAACGCTGCTGATAACGGAGCCGCGTTATCGCACGCGAAAATGGTAAAAATGCACGCTGCGGGCGAGCTGGTATGTTTTGCATGGGTTTTGCTATTATGCAACTGCACAGTGGTTATGTGTGCTGAATTCTTGGACTAAAATTGTTGGGGATTGACGATTGAGACGTAATTTTTGTGTCGGATAAGTCTTGACATGAAACCTCTTGACTATATTCCAAGGTCTGGTTTAACTATTTTCTAGATTTGATATAAATTACTTTAGGTTTTGTTGTAGGTTTTTATCAAGTTGTCTTATTATGATTTTTTTGGCCGTATCTGGTGGATTACTTAAATAGTATATCGCAACCGCCGTTTTCTTCTAGAATAAATACCTTACACATAATAGGTAGACTTGGGGCATGTAGAGGCAAATTAAGTGAGAGTGTTTTGGAGTCCAATTAAATAGTGATTGTCACTCGTTAAACGTTTCCAATTCCTTTGGCCCTTAGCAGTATAGATTTTGCAAATAGAGAGGAAAGAAAAGGGAATAATTATTATTGTTCAGCAGGATTTTTAAAGACTTAAAAATAGAAAAGGATGTAGTTGTGGAATGTTATCGCATACTTTTAGTTATCTACAACAACAATTATACTTCCAAATTAACTGTACACACAGTGGCTATGATAACGGCCCGCATAACAATAAATGTCTAACCAACAACTAAACGATAAGCGTTAGGTTATTTGAAGGTTTACTAACATGGATTTAGATTGCTTTTTGTGTAATTACATATGTTTTAGATTGAATAAGAGAATCAGTTTTAAAGAAAGAATGTGGAATTTACATGTGTGAATAAGAATAAGACGAAGGTTTTTTATGCAAAACAAAGCAGGTATTTGACTGCAATGTTATATAAAATGCAGTCTAGGATGCTGCATATGTGTGAATTCCAGTCCCTAGCTGTTTGTTATAAAAGAGTTAGCGAAGTTAAGTTATTAATAGTTGATAATGCATATCGCAGATTTAAATATATCTGCAGTGAGCTTTATTTCGGGGATCAGTGTGTAGGTTTTTTTTTTTATCAATAAAACACTATTAATATGCAGTGTAATTTGATGATTCGGGGGACAGTGCGGAATTTTCAAATTCAAAATAAAATACAAATTAATTTTGTAAAGAATGAGGATAATTGACGCTCTCACTAGTAATCAATTTGAATTTTTTTAAACAACAACATTACAGCGAAATAATAATAAAATAAATTAATTTCACTCATAACAAATGAAATATGCAAACTTTATTTATAACCAATCGATTAACTAAACACTTACCGTAACATGACGTCACGTTCTTTTTGAAGCCTTCGACCACGTTTTTATTGGCATATCTAATTGACATGTGAAATGTAATTTTCCACTTAGACTCCAATCAAAATGTCCAAAGATGTGTCCTTAAATCGCAAAAAACCTTTTTAATGACACATAACTTCTAAAATACACGTCTGTTAAATTACTAGCAATTTTAAAGTCTGTAGTTTGTTTAAATGTACGAATATCTGCCGCAAGGAAAAAGGACGTAACTAAAAAAAAACAAAACCGAATCACTAGCTCAAAATTTCGCGCAACATTTGCTCAAAAAATACATGAAATAAAAAAAATTCAAAACAAAATCGAACGCGCTTCGCTCGCGGCCCACCGCTGTGTTGGCCAAACAAACACTGAATAGTTCGCGCTTATCGCTCACTGATAAGGCGTAATCAACCGATTTTACGATTGCCGCTATCACGACACGGCGGATTACACACCGATACACATCGGGGTAGTTGACAAACTTCTCAGATAGGTTTTAATGTGTGTTTACGTGGCTACCGGTTGATAAGCTAGCTGTAGACTTTGATAGAGGTTTGACAATAGATTGGGTGAATGTCATTACATTTAATTAATCAAAATTATTCATTTATTTTATTGTAGAAATTTTACTGTTAATCCATAGCTCTACACTAGAAAATAATTACATTATTATAATGTGCACATTCGGTCCATGTCGGGGTCAGTCAACGCCAACTTCAAAAATCACTGCTTTCGTTTAGAAATAGGAATAGTTATTGTACGTTTAATTGCTCTATACCTATTAAAATTATTCGTATTATCAGAAATAAAATAAGCTTACATGTAACTTTTCGGTCTACAAGTATTGTCATTAAAAAAAACCGTACCATCAATTACCAATCTCAAACCAAAGAAGAGCTTCTGTCGACTAGATAATGTCAAAAACAAAAATATGTCTAAGAATTCACATTAAAAATGATTCTAAATATTCTCAATTTTTCTCGCACGGACCTCGCCTAGTGGTGCGTGGCTTATCGCCGCCGGACAAAAGGAGCGTTGACGATTGAACAAACATAATGTCGATCCGATCGACAGGTGACGTGATACACCGTGCGAGGCCAAGAATGTTTGTATTTGCTCGAAATCGCTGTTTTGCGACTGGAAAAATTTTGGTGAAAAACTTGAGATTTTATTTTCTTTCCATCGTACAACAAAATATTAAAAATTGTTGTCTGAGTTAGAACCAAAAATTGTACAGCGGTTTCTGTGGTATGCTCTCTGACTTTTATCTTGGCTGCGAGTGATTCATAATGAAAGCCCTAGTTTAAAAAATCTTAGAATTCAGATTTGAAAATTTATTCTTACAGAAAGTTGCAGTTGAATAAAGAGAGTTATATTTTATGTTGGTGCTCCGAGATAAGTTAGTGTTACTTGTCTCTACAGTAAAAAATATTTGGGGATCTTAATATTTGAAAAATACTCACCTAATCTGTCATTTCATAAAGTTTTTTTTAAATAAGTCAACTTTCTGCTCTTTTTATCTTTCAAAACATTTTTTTTTTGTCCAAACATTTTCATTCCGAACGTTCTAAATGCGAAAATTAAGCGGGCGTGCTGTTACCCATTCCGACAGTTGACGACATTAACTCGAGTGCGGGGTCTATCTCGCGCGCCAGTCGAAAACTTTTTCGCGCAACGCGGCTTACGGTGACGAGTGAGCGACGCAGGTGAGTGCAGGATACCCGCCTGCCAGCGTGAGATACGTCACTCATGTAAGTTTTCTTCGCATTTTGAATTATCGCGATTTGTTATTCGCGCGTAAATTTGAGGAATGGGTTTTGGCATTTTTTCCAGATGTGCATGTGTGGTTAGCATAGGGCACATTCAATTTTGCGAAATTTTTAAGTCACTTCTAAAATATTGTGTAAAACTAAAGAGTCAGCGAATATTTATCGTGTTTTTAAACTCTACACTTAATTTGAAAATGGTATCTTTTTTTCTATTTTTAGAAAATTTCTTGCAACTGATACTCAGATTAGCTAATGATTGAAGGTACTTGAGTGTGCATTTTAGTTCTTGTGATCAAGATATCATCTATCAAGAGGTATGTTCAACAAGATAAACATCTGACGATTGTCTAACGAGTTTATTTAGCGCTAGCGCGTTGCGTTGCGTTTTTCCTCGCGTTGAAATGAAATTGGCTTGTTAATTTGCCGTGAACGCAGCGCGCAATATAATATGCGATGCGTCGATAATGGACTCGTCTACTGGATGGACTTTCATTTCCGCGCGCACGTCGCTCGATAACAAAGAAGTGACATATTTAGAACAAGCCTGAAATCGACTCGACTGGCAACACCGCGCGCGCGATGACAGCCGTCATCCGACTAACGCGCGGTTTTAATTATCGAATCCATCCCGCGGCTGCCGCTCCCGCGCTTTTTTGTAACAAACGTCAAACCGAGATCCCGATTGCTTCCTCCGCGCGCGAAGAATCCCGAATACTTTATAAAACTGTCGAAGTTTCAAGTGATTGACATGTGGTGATCGCGAGGTTTCGCGCAAATAGCTTTTCGCTGAAACTGAATTTGTGATTGATTCCAATTGAACTTTAGACAGGTCGGTATCGTCGCATTACTTGTTTCCACTTCGATTGGCTGCGAAGGGGTACGGGAATTAACATTTTGATGGGCAATTTCCTTTGTCTCAATCTTTTTAAATTGCTTTTTATGCGTAAGTTGTTTTATATTGAAAGAGTTTTCGTTCGTGCCAGTTTAGTAGGGGTTAAAAATTGTGGAAATATGAATAGATTCTTGCGGGGCGTTGTATCGGCGGCGGCCAGGGTCCGCGTATCGCCGTTCCGCACGGGCGCGCCGATACACCGCCTCTCGGAAGAGAGAACAACACTAGCGTACATTTTTAAGAAGGTTGCCGGACTTTTTGAGGCAAAGGAATATTTTGAATAAGATGTTTCTCACTAAATAGAACTTGTGATGTTTTTAGTTGACAAATAATGGAACAGCCCGCATAAGTATAACGCTAAACATTGTACAATCTACTATTTAGCAAAGCTTTATCATTGTCAAAAAGGTTTATTTCCAAATACAAACTCTTTGTTAATTGAGTTTCGCTTTTGAATAAAAACTTTACTCTAAAGTTAGGAAACTGATATAAAAACAGTCACAAAAGCCAGTTAACTCGCACAACGGGGCAATATCTCGCCGCCGTCCAACTTGCAAATAAAATTAATATCAATGAATGTAAACTGACGAAAGTAATATCCGGCGAGCGCTTACACAATGCGAAAAACGGAGAACAGAAACGGAAACTAAAACAAAGCCGATGAGACACTTAAGGCGATTAGAGTCCTCAATGACCTTGGGCNCCTTAATCGAAATAGAGGCGCAATAATCCAACATGGCGGCTGCAATTCGAGAGATGCAATTGTCACGGGCCGCTGGGCCGGCTGCTTCTTGTTTTGCCGATCGCGCGATCCTCGTTTTGCGTCGTGCCCGGCCGCCGATACCGTCCGCATTCTACATTGAGACCTGTCATATCGAACCTTTGTTTGCCGTATAGAAAAAAAAGATAAAAAGTCTCCGAGCAAATTGGGCGTCTCTGTTATAAACAACGGAGGTGGAATTTCACGATAGCGGACAATAAACGTCCGATCCGTTTGTGCGATGCGAATTTGTTGATTGTTTCGGACCACCGGCGCTTTGTCGCGGTAGTTTTGGCGCGCTTTTCGCTGTCACTGTGACGTTTGGTTTTTTTCAAAATGGCCGATTGAATCCGACAACAATAAGCAGTGTGCAAGTTGGGCGTTATTTACGTTCAGTGTTCGGTGTTGCATCCTTAATAGGTATATCTGGACAGCGTGCGGAGCTGTTATCTTGGGAGGGAGGGGGGCGGAGGTCTGGGGTGAGTCGATATGAATCACTACGAGTAATGGCGGGAATATCACGTAGTGCACTTTGTCAACTGGTTGTAGCTCGGAGTAGCATAGATAATAGTGAGATTGCGGGTCTAAGAGAGATGGTTGTTTGCGATCGATGCAGCGTTGCATTCGGCCGATATCTCCTTGGGCTTTGTGCTATCCAAATTGGAAGACATTGTTTGTAACAGTCCGAGATTTGTGGACTTGGAGATATTGTGCGCCATATTTAGAATTGGGAAATATGATAACGTTAAAATGTATTGTTGCCGGTGTATTTGTACAACTAGCGGCATATTAATTTGCTTTTTTGATTCGAAAGCAAGTAAATTATTCAAAAGATGAAATGTAGAGTCAAATTATTGATAAACTTTTTCATCTCCATAGGAAGTCCACTGCTGAACATAGGCCTCCCCCAATGCTTTCTATGCTGCCCGGTTGGTAGCGGCCTGCGTCCAGCGTCTTCGTGCTACCTTTATGATGTCGTCAGTCCACCTTGTGGGTGGACGTGGACTTTACGAGATCGAATCAGAAATGAGGAGATCCGTAAACGAACTAAAGTCGCTGACATAGCCCGATGAATTAGCAAGCTGAAGTGGCAATAGGCAGGGCACATAGTACCTACGCAGAACTGACGGCCGATGGGGTAGCAAGGTTAATGGACTTTTAACTATTCTTTAAAGGAAAATAAATAGAGGGGGTATATTTAACAAAGAGCAAAGCATTTATGGAATAAAAATCAATAACCAGTGAAAAGAAATGAACCTAAATAAGAATGCAAGTATAAATTTCAATCCTTAGTTTTAAGTGGGGCTTTTAACTTCATTCCATCACGCTACAGTTCAAACGAAAACGCTTAGTAACGGACACCAATCGCCGATTGCAGAAGAACACTCGAAGAGTAACTTCCACTTGGGCCTGCGAATGCGCGCAGTCCTAATAAAATTGTCCTCAGCGATCGGACTGTGGAGACAGATTAGCCGCGCGCTGGCCCTCGCGGCAATGATACTCCACTGATTGTATCGCGGTGCGCTTTTCACGCGACGCTAAGGAGGGGTCATTGATAGGCACTAAGTGGAGCAAATCTTTTGCTTTTGTGTAATTTTTTTGGAGGGGAAATGCAATGAACTAGCAATTGAAAGGTTTCTCAACAATTGAGTAGGTATGAGTACCTAGTATATTTTCGGGAAAAGCTGAGTAAGATCCCCTTTTTACATGATAAGGTATTACATATTTAATAAAGCACACACATATTTAATATTCACATAATAGTAGTGTTTGATTCGGATACACA